TTCTTTAACGTGCACCCAAATCTGAGCACACGGGCCTACAATGTTTCTGCCTCGATTGGAAATGCAGCCGCCGCAGCCAAGATTCGATCCCGCGATCTGCGGGCCAGCAGCCAAGTACCTTAGCCATTAGACCACTGCGGCAGGGCTGATTTGACAGTGGACCCTTGACTCACCATGCTAGACAATAAAAGGCAAGATAGTGTTCTCCGAGCTGTGCAGGAAATGAATTGTCATGTTCAATCATTGACACCTTTGTGCTATCATAAACAATAACGCTTTTTGCTTCCTGCCATGGGTACAGGTCACGCAGGTATTTTTTTGAAGTTATTTGAATTTATGTAAAAATTTATTGTGCCTGTATTTATGATTTTGAAAGGCCAAAATGGTGTTCTAACTGCCTATCTTTGGCACCTAAAATGTGCTTTTTTAGTGCCTAAAAATCCGGCCTCTAGTAATAACCAACGCCAGTGTAAGTAATGAATAGTTTTGAACCTTCTCACTATTGTTAGTTTATGTGTGTGAGCCATGCCTTCGAGTGCCCAATTTTAGAGATGTGTGCAAGACTGTATGCGCAGTATGGTATTACAAAAACACAAGATTTGACTTGCGTACCTGACAGCTTCTTGCTGCTTTAGTTCATTCCCCTACATATCCCTCCTCAAAAGTGGATTATACCCCTGTCACACGGGCACCCGCAAACTTCGTTAAACTCAGTGTATGTAAAACTCTGTTAGGAAGTTCGACAGCGACGGAGTTGTGGCGGTGTCACACGGCAATGACAAGGTTGTAACAGTTGCCGCGAAGGGCTTAATCAACGCTGTTTGATTTTTGAAGAAGTATTCTAATTTTACTTCTAGTTGCTCTTTTGTGAATCATCGTGAAGCCGCTTTTATAACAAGACATTATCAGGTAGGTCTAAAGCAAAAAAAGCATTAGAAATCGTTTCAAATGAGAACCTTGTTCGCTAAATATAGCAATGCTGAGAGCCACACTGACCACCTTGTGCCTAACACTATGCTTGTTTGTTTGCAAGATGCACCGTGCTCGATGACTATTAGTTTTGTAGCCCTTATACATAGGTTCTTGTGTTTCATTGCCTCGTGAGCGCATGTTTTGTTCTCTATAAAGGGCTGCAACAATAACTGCACGTACGGACAAAATATATTTAAATGGCTACATGCGAAGCATGGTGAAAGACAAGGGCATTGGTGTGGAGAGTAGCTGCAGTATGGCAGGCATACATAATGTTTTGAGTACCTCCTTAAAAAATCTATTTACAATGCACAGCACTAGGTGAACAAGATGGCACCAGTCCAGCAACAACTGAACGCTATGTCATCTCCCTTTTCCTTTCATGCAGCCGCATTGTGGCGGCTGTTATGTAACATAATCCCCGGCAGTAGGAGCACCATCTCGGTGCTTAATTTATGCAGATGAAGTCGAAGGAGGGTAATAGGGCTTGAGCTGAGCCACGTGAACGGTATCACTCGAAGCTGACAATAACCTAGTTGGATCGGTTGGTACGATCTTGTACTTGACGTCAGTCACCTGGTGAATGATACGGTATGATCCAGTGTAGTACAGCAGTTTCTCAGATAGTCCCACATGCCCAGTAGGCGGCCAGAGAAGCACGAGAGAACCCGGAAAAAAGTGCACGTCCCTATGATGACAATCGTAGAGCTGTTGCAGGTGATCCTGTGAGGTCTGCGGATGGTTATGGGCAAGTTGGCGTGTGAAGCTGGCGCGGGCATTGGTGTCCCCGCATACTCAGTGGCTGCAGGCAGCATAATGTCCAAAGGTAATGTGGGGTCGCGGCCATATAAGAGATAGAAGGGCGAATAGCTAGCAGTGTTGTGACGGGAGGAATGGAGGCAAATTTCACATAGGGCAAATGAATGTTCCAGTCCTAATGATCAGCTGCAATGTACTTGGCAAGTATATCGGTTGTGGTCCTGTTGAGGCACTCCGTGGGGCCATTCGACTAGAAATGGTACAAAGTTGTAAATTTGTGCTTGGTGTGGCAAGATCGCAGGATTTCATCAACAGCCGAGAGGAAGGTGCGGCGTGGCCGATAAGATGTTGGTGGGAAGCTCCATGCACTAAAATTATGTCGTACAACAGAAAGTCTGCAACGTCTGCACCTGTTTTATAATTTACAGAGAATGTGTATTCTTAAAGACGTAGGGCCCAGCGCGTAAGCCACCCTGAAGGATCCTTCAGCGAGGCAAGCCAGCAGAGTGTGTGGTGATCGGTGACGACACAGAATGAGTGCCCAAATAAGTATGGACGGAACTTGGTGACTGCCCACACGAGAGCAAGGCACTCGTGCTCAATGATTAATAGTTGCTCTCAGTGGAAGATACCAGTTGGCTTGCATAGGCGATAACAAGGTCATGTTCTCGTTGGTGCTGCAATAACATAGCTCCTATTTGTTCACTGGCATCCGTGCAAACTTTCGTTGAAGCTGATGGATCGAAGTGGGCTAAGATTGGCGGTGTTGTAAGCAGGTTCGTAAGTTGAGAAAAAAAAAATTGGCACCGTATCTGCATGTTACACTGCAAATGTCTTTGAAAGACGATAGTCTTGCGTCTGGAGAGAGTGAACAAAACGTTTATTTGATGTTCTGCGCAAGAAAATTGGTGAATAATATTCTGGAGTTGCTGGGTTAGAGTGCCTCGAGCGTGCAGCGGAGGCAAACGAGCGCATGAAGTCATGTCACACGTGAGACATGAGCGCTATCTGGCAGTTATTTTGGAAAACGAAGCAGGCACGCTCTGCACGCCCGTCTCGCAGGTGATAAGGCAAAGAATGCAAGGCGACGGGTAAGTGCCGCCCCCGTGTCTTACCAAAGCGTTGGAAACACTTGCCTTTTCGTGCAAGCCTTGTATGGTCAGCGCAACGTGATAAACGCTACAATCCTCAAGATTACTTACGTATGCCTTTTCTAGTAAAAGACACACATCCAGAATATTGACGTGTTGTTATGATGCCTCAGATATGCACAATAATTGCTTTTTAATTGACAATCACACAAGTATGAACGCTGCATCTTGAGCAATATTGGTGGGTGCTGCGGATGGGGTCGGCCGTTTGGAGTATCGTTTGGCCACTTTGGTCGTGTTTAAGGTACCGTCAATGGCGGACAAGCAGAAAAATGTACAGACACACAGACCAAAATTTTTTGCATCGAAGGTCCCCAAGAAAAACTATTGTCTTTAAAATTACACTTGGACAGGGCCCCATTAAACGGGGGCATCATTCTTCAAGAGGTCTGTGAGGGGGTGTGCAATAGTCACAAAGTCCTTAACAAAGTGTCTGAAGTATGAGCACAGCCCCACGAAACTACGGAGATCTTTTGTGGTCTTCGAAACGCGGAAGTTTGTAACTGCGCAAATTTTCTCTGGGCCTGGGCGCACGCCTTGGGAATCGATGAGGTGGCCAAGCATGGTGATTTCAGTACTAGTAGCACTTGGAAGAGCTCAACTGGAGTTGAGCTCTATGGAAAATGTCAAGAGTTGCCAATAAACGATCGAGATTTGAGTCAAATGTGAAAAAAAAAGAAAATTACATTGTTGAGATAGCACAAGCAGGTGCACACATTCTTGAAGCAATGCACCATCCTTGAAGCAATGAGTCCATCATTCTTTCAAAAGTGGCTGGCGCATGCAGAGACCTAAGGGCATCACCTTAAACTGATAAAGACCGTCGGGAGTGATGAATGTGGTCTTCTCACGGTCCATCTCATCGATGGTTATCTGCCAATAGCCTGACCAAATGCTAATAGTTGAAAAAAAAGTATAACCATAGAGGCAGTGTAGGGTATCGTCGATGCGCGGCAAAGGATAAACATGGTTTTTCTTAATCTTGTTGAGGTGACAGTAATATAAAAAAAGCGACATGTTCTGTCCTTCTTTTTGACAAGGATGATGGGACAAGCCTAGAGGCTGCATGAAGGCTTGACAATGTCTTTCGCAAGCATCTTCTCGACTTCCTGTTGCATTACTGCACGCTCCGACATGGAGACACTGTATGGGCGTCTGTGAATAGGACTCGAATCGCCAGTATTGATGTGATGCACCAGTATGATGCACCAGTATGATGCACCAGTATGATTAGAGGGGGAGGCCAATAATGTGCCGGTGAAGCCCAGTGGTTGCGGCAGTAGCGAGTGATATGACCGACACGTTGGCAGTTGAAACATATGGGCTTGTCAAGGGTACGCCATCCGAACATATTGCGTCGTCGAGAATAGTTGGCAGTAAGACAAGAAGCAGAAGGGCGACAATAAAAAGGCTCAGCACCGTATACGGGAAGAACAGTACGTAGGTCCACATTAGATCACTCTTAACGAATGACGGCCTGTATGAATAAGATAGTAGTCAGGGAAGGGTCAGGAGTCGGGAAAGAGGTGGCTACTGCTTGCACTGCCTCGACCTCTCGTCAAATGATGCGTGTGAGGTCAGATCGAGGGGCCTGGTGGAAGGCGTCGTCACACAAAGAAGTAGCCCCTGTGTTCAGAAGACGCACGGGGCTTTGGGCTACGCGGCGAGCTTCAGCTTGTTCGAGATGTCAACATTTTTTAAGGATCATGTCAATTCTCGTGATGTTAAAAAACAGCAGGTTGAAAACATTGTTGGCAATGCCTTTTAGGAGGTCATTAACCTTCTCGTCTTCCGACATGCTCTGGTCAATCTTGCTACAAAGGAACAAAACGTCAAGAATGTAGGAGACGTAGAATGCGGTAGAAGTCTGGACCCGTGTAGCAAGAGCCCTTTTTTACAGCAAGTTGAAGACCAGATGAATCACTCAACAGCTCAAAGATCTTTTCTTTGAAGAGATTTCAGCTTGTTATTTTGGCTGAAGAATGTTCAATATTTTTAAAATGTATTACTGTTCGGGCTGCGGCAATTTAGTGCTCAAAGTTTTTTTTTTTTTTTTTTGACCTACAGACAACTAGAGACGAGATTACTTCAATCCGCCGCCAACAGAAAACACCGAGCTTTGTTTGCAAAATGCTCTATTTACCTTCCTTTGTGTAAAGGAGGCCGCGTGACACAAACCGCATCTCCGTCGACATAAAAATGAGGAAGCTGAAGTTCGAGGGATACATGTGAATTCTCATTACATTCTATAATTACATACAGCAGCCATGCTCATATCACTAAGGGCCTTACAAGTTGTACAGAGTGTTTCTCAGCATGGTAGATACGAAATATCTGGCTTAGAATTGGTGCTGTGTCCGAGTCATTCAGCCAGCGAGAGGCACAGCCAGGATTTTCCAACATCTGAAGCAGGGCTGTAATAAAAAAAATTTCATCAACACAATGAAATGGGCATTTAAGCCCTCACCATGCAAGACCCTTTAGAAATTCTGATCCTTCTTCGAGAAGCCCTGCAACACTTTTCCAACTAGACATAGAATGGATACCTTAAAGAAGGTTATTGCCTCATGATTTCACCACCACAATGGTTTCCAGTATCTATCCAGTAAAGCGGAGTTACGCAGATCCCGACAAAAGTACTGGCAGCTAAGCAGGGAGGAATAGCACGGGGAAAGAAAATGCATCACACGCAGCCCGTGATGCTGAGCACTTTTTCTTTTTTTTTTTACACCAAAACCTGTTATGAGATCAGAACAAGGGTCATTTTTACGCCGTAGTTTTCCGCAACCACTGTGGTGCGAAATAAGAAAAATAAGTAAATGAAAACACCAATGACAAATGGGATTTGAACTCGGATTTCTTGCGTGCCAACCCAGTGCACTACCACTGAGCCACGTTGGTGCTTGAAACTAGTGGCGTAGCCAAGGGGGGGTTTGGGGGTTCAACTCCCCCCCCCCCCCTCGAAATTTTTTGTCCAAACCCCCCCCCTTCCTGCCACTTACTCAACTTATTTTTTTTCGGCGCTTCCCGCTGACATGATTGAGAAACTAAGCGCTGCTACTATCACAGTATCATTGCTGGGTGCTTTTACAATGAATAATGTCTGCATACGGAAAAACGTATCGTAATGGTTCTCAAGGCTTAGCATTCTGCAATATTTCGGGCAGAAATCTCAGCCGCGAGTGTTTTAAGTTGGCTCGGCGATGGAATTAATACTCAAGCAGCGGTCATACTTGTACCCGCCAGAACAGATCTTGCCATAGTCGATCACTACGATAATTTTCAATAGAGAGAGGTTCGTTTTATTGGAAATAGCCAGACACAGTTCCAAGGTTTGATAGGTCATGTTCAAGCATATTACAGTGTGGCTTTTCGTATGTGTGCTTAAATATACTCAAGCCAAAGAATAACGTTTCTATTTAACCTTCACACGTCCTGCTAACATCTAAACACACACACACATGCATGTGCGTGACAGAATATTCGGTTTATACACCTAACTGGGCTTGTATGCGAGTGTACAATATATTTAGACATATTTTTATTATGCCCTAACGTCTAAGCACTCCCAAATGTTGTCTAGTGACGAAGGTCAACATAAGCAAACGTGCAAGCTAATCACAGCCTTAGAAAGGCCTACTAAAATACTCATCATCATAAATAAAAAGATGGTGGTCATAAATATAAAGCAGCGTAATGAGAAATGCAGTGTGGGCAGCTGTAGTGAGCACAAGCTTTTTTGTTATACTGTGGCAAATAGCGAAAGAATATGGAACATAAAGCTGAAAAAATATAATGACAAAGTATATATTGTTATGCCGGGAGCGACATTCCAGGGCGGCTTAAAGTTACAATGGTGGTGCGGTGAGTCTGCTGGGCCCGCGGACCTAAAAACCCTCTCCACCCGACCACCCGGAGGGACCTTTGCAGCCTATGCTTCCGCCTCCTCCTTTGGGTGGTGCACCGAACAATGGGCCTCGCATCTGGACTTGTGCCACGAGCACGCTTTCTACATTCCGGAGCCAGTGACCGCGCCTTGGTGCATTGTGTTCGGGGCCTGCAAGGAGCTAGCTGAGCCAGTGGTGCTGTATTGCTCTTCCCAGTGCCACCGGGTGTGCAGGTCCTTGCACTTTTCTAGAAACTAATTTGGCGGACTAGTCTGCACCGGGTCGGAGTGGAGGAGGACAATCCTATTGGAGGGACCTGAGCTGACTTATCTTCCCTCGTAGTGAATTCTGGGAAGGCAGTGTATAAGAACGCGAGCGTAGAGACGCTCGGGGTGCTTCACCTGTTCCATGCTGTTCTACGCTACTCTCAACATGTAAATATTGTACATAAACGTTTTCTTCTCATCTACGCCGGCTCCTCGACTCGTCTTCTCCCGGCACTCGGATGGCTCCAGACGGGACCACGCTACCCACGGTCGCCACAGTCACGGACGTGGCGGCATGTCCCGACACCTCCTTCCTAACAATATACTGATTTTTTTCATCAGTTCGTTTCTTTACATTGACATGACTCAACATGACTCAAAATTACATGATTCCAACTATGATATCCTTAACCCCGGTTTGTTCCCTGATCTACTCTGCTCTCTTCTGGTCTTTTAAGGTTACACCTATCATTTTTTTCTATCGCTCTCTGTGTCGTCCTCAAACTTAAGCTGAACCCTCTTTGCAAGTCTCTAGGTTTCTGTTCCATAGCTAAGTACCGACAAGATGCAGCTGTTACATATCTTCCTCTTGAGGGATAGTGGCAATCTACCAGCCATGCTTTGAGAGTGCTTGCAAAATGTGCTCCACCCCATTCTTATTCTTCTAGTAGAGCGTACTAGAAGTGTTGAGTGGCGTGCCATGCCTTGCCGCCTGATCCCTTCCGCGTTGCCTGCAGCGGCGGCGCTGCAGTCGAATAGTACTGAAAGAGCCACGCGCCGCGTGCAGGAACTGCTATGCGCTTCGGCTCCTCCATCGCGCTTTCTGAATCAGATTTCTTCGTACCTGCCCATCATTCATGTCCAGCACATGATGCCATAGCCCTTGAAGTATGACACGCCAATCTACTGAACTTGAGCTCTAAAAGCCCTTGTGAGAGATCGAAAATAATTCAAAAAAGGTGTGTCTTATACTGATTTCTTTTCTCCTATCACTCTTTTCGTTGGTAAGGTGTCTACAATATTCAGAATAACAGACGATTTATTGGAGGTCAGCTGTGGTCAGAAAGCTGTGAGATTGAAAAACAAATACTGTGTCACCCGCCCACAGAACCAGAAAGCCATAAGTAAAGAGGGGAAAGGAAGAAAATCTGAACCCCCTACACCACGAAATGTTTTCGTAATTTAACTTTTCAGGGTATACTAAAATATTTACACGCATTCACAGCGACCACGAAGTGTCAAAGTTGGGCGTTCTGCTGCACACCCCACACCTTCAAAAAAAGAAAAATCTGCCATGGGTAGCCCTGCGCCAATAGTTGACAGTTGGCGAAGAGCTAAATATAGCGTGTCTCTACAAATGCGCACGGTAGATTTCACCTTGTCGACAGTATGAGGTCTCAAAAGTAGTTAAAGTCTAACATTATATATATATATATATATATATATATATATATATATTATTACGGTAGCCGGAAGAAACTCTGATCATCTATTTCATCCACACATGTGTGTGTGTGTGTGTGTGTGTGTGTGTGTGTGTGTGTGTGTGGTGCACCGAACAATGGGCCTCGCATCTGGACTTGTGTGTGTGTGTGTGTGTGTGTGTGTGTGTGTGTGTGTGCGTGCGTGCGTGCGTGTGTGCGTGCGTGTGTGTGTGTGTGTGTGTGTGTTTACTGTACATATAAAAGGAAGGTAAATTTCTCAAAACAAGATGCACCACTGCCTGCCTACACCTTTCATAATAATAATAAAACTACTTTTATAATACAAAACATCGTCATAAATTTGCTCGCTTGCAATGACGTTACGCCAATAGAATATTTGGAAAGCCGCACAATTGAAGCTGTCGATACAAAATGAGAACTGGTTACAATGAATTTATGCAAATTAACAGACAAGCTATATATACAATTGGCACTTTTTAATATGTTTGTGTGTTGTTTTATTAAGTTTAATATGTATTTAGCCTTTCGGAAAGCAATAATTATTATCTTCCGCAAAACTGGCATGATAAAACAGAGTCGTCACTGATTATTGTTGTCACAACATTACTTATACTCGGGTTTCTCATGAAACAATCGAGCGCATGTAGCCTCATATGAGGAACACTCTGCTTTGGATATTGTAGAGACTGCCGACAAAACGGGCGTATAATTTAATCACAGTTATTATACTTCTCTCTTTGTAGTTCCCCAGTAGCACTTATGATGTAACGCAGCTCAAAGCACTGATTGAGTAAGAAGCTAGGGGGATCCGTGCAAATTGCGAATGACATTTTTTTTTCTGGGTAGGTAGGTTCTTTAAACAGTGAATGTTTCGACGCAATTTCGGCATGCCTGCATATACACTCGTGCGCCATGGCACACAGCAGGTGCGTCCACTGGTAAAGGCTCAGAAACGCTTTAAACGCGCCAAATACACGCAATTACACGCTTTCGCAGGCTCGGGCGCGGGCTCTCAATGCAGACGTTTTTGAAATCTTCAGTACCATGCAACTACAGCGCCGCCGCTGTCACCCGTCGGAGAATCAGCAGAGATGCGGCGCGGCCGCCTCGTTCACTTCACTGCCCCTTTCTAGTACACTGTACTTCTAGTTACTTCAATCTCGTGGTTTGGCTCCACGGTTATTACCTGTCCTAAGTAGACGTAGTCTTTTACAAATTCTAGTGCACTATTACCTATGTTGAAACGCTGTTCTCTTCCAAGGTTGTTGTACATTACTTTCGTTTTCTGCAGATTAATTTTAAGACCTACCTTTCTGCTTTCCTTGTCTAACTTCCTGATCATGAGTTGCAATTTGTCCCCTGAGTTACTCAGCAATGCAATACCATCGGTGAAGCATAGTTTACTAAGGTTCTCTCCATTAACTCTTATCCTTAACTCTTCCCATTCCAGGCCTCGAAACCTTCTGTAAGCATGCGGTAAATAGCATTGGGGAGAATGTAACCCCCTGCCTTACACCCTCCTTGATTTGTATGTTGTCGCTTTCTTTATGGAGCAATATAGTGGCAGTTGATCCTCTGTAGATTTCTTCCAGGATGTTTGTATACGCTTCGTCGATGCCCTGATTCCGCAGTGTTCACGCGATTGCTGATATTTCTACTGGATCAAACGCCTTCTCGTAATCTATGAAAACTATGTATAGTGGTTGGCTGTATTCTGAGCATTTCTCTATTACCTGATTAATAGTATGAATGGGGTCGATTATTGAGTACAGCTTGTCCGAAATCCTGCTTGTTTTTTTGGTTGATTGAATTCTAA